AGAAAGTGGTAAATCTCTGGAATTTCTTGTGCACATGCCATTTCAGGCATGTAGTATCTGGGGAAAATACCTGAAGATTATGTCGAAGAATCGTATAAGAAGAGCACCTATATGAGAGTTTACAATCACTTACTCGACACACTTGAAGGAATTGAATCTTGGCCTGAATCTGAAAAGCCACCCTTATTTTCTCCAGACATTGTGAAGATGCTAGGCAGACCTAAACTGCACAAAAGAATAAGGCAACCAACGGAGATCAATGGTCCGAAGGACATCCAACCTCCAGTTGCCAAAATAGTAACAAGAATTGAGAGTTTGGATACAAAAGATATCATAATAAGATGTAGTTCATGTCATAAAAAATCACAACGCAAGACGTTGTCCCTTGAAGAAGGCAAGTGGTGCAGTTAATGATAAAGGTCATTTGTATGCATAGTTTTTCAACTATTCATTATTTTACGAGTTAGTTAATTGTTAACCAATGCAGTTGATTTTTTTTCCAATGCTAGAGAAAGAAGTCAAACACACAAGCTACGGTCACTCAACAACAAATTCAAACTGTGACAGAACAACAAAGCCAAACTACATTTGAACCTCATTTGAAAGTTCAAACAAGTAATGTTATCAAGAGAAAGGTATTTAGATTTTGTGATTTGTATTCAAAGTGACTTTTTGTGTTAATTTATGATTTTGTGATTTTTTTTATTTCTTATATTCCTGTAGAGGAAGCTTGTTTTTGACATTAAATAGTGCTCTACAAAGGTCTGGATATGGGAACGATGCAAGTCTTAAACTCTTTGCTTTAGGATGTGCCTGTATTTATGTAACAAATAATTCTTAATATAGTGGAAAGGTTAATAAAAAGTACTGTCATAACACAATTAAAAAACTTTAACATTAGACCTTTATATACTCGGTCCACTCATCATTTGTCATGTTGATGGTGTTGGTCGCATGATTGTAAACATTGCCTGTTTTCGTAGTTAAAGGCAACCATGCTTGATACTTATTTTATGTAATCGTATCTATTCTTCATTTGTCTTTGAGAAACCACAAAATTATAATTATTCTTGAGAGCGTAAATAACCTTGGTCCAAGATTCCGCCTTAAGACTTCCTCATTCTCTACCATTTAAAGCAACTTCTTGCATACATGATTTAAGGAAACATTTATCGACTTCGCTATTATTCCATCTGACTCTATTATTTTCATATGATTCCTCCATTCCTACAGTAATGGATGTTCATGTACAAAATAAAAATTAAACCTAAGATACATTATCACATATCATTACTACATATAAATAGACACATAGTAAAACAAGAACTGAGCTAAGTGACAATGTTAAACCATAAAACATGCATTGTTCCGAGTTGTCTTCATTTTTACTCACTTTATAACTATTTATGCATCAAATAAATATATCTATATGAAGTATTCAGTCTTCAATTATAAGGGTTCAACTTATTCGCCATCCTAATTAAATAAAAGATGAATGGATAAAAATAATTTGCAATAGAATACATCCAATTTTTTTTTTTATGAAATAAAAATATGCACCCAAATGAAGCTTTTCAAACTACATGAGTGTCTCGTTGTTCACAATAATGCTTGTTCTCTATTTTTTTTTATAATTATTAAAGCACTTGGTGTGTTGCAATATAAAAAAATGAATAATAGTTCCTATACTCACAAATCTCTTCAACTATTGCACTATCAAAACTGATTAATTTTTTTGAAAACAAATAAAAGATATATCATTAATATGATAAAATATACAAAGTTTGATATGAAGTCTGAAACTTGAGACCAAGAACAAGAAACCACAAACTTAAGTGAACTCCTTGTTAATAAATGAGCAGCCTTATATCCCATGGAAGGAAATTCCATGGGATAGAGAAAATTTCAAACAATTTCAAATTATCACCAACTCTTTCACAATTTACCCTATTATTAATAATGGATAGAAAATCTACATAAAGTCCTATGTACCCTGAATATAAATAGCATATTTATCATAACATAAAAAACGCAGGAATATAAAGGCTTGTTTGAAAAAATCTCGTTAACAATTCTCGTGTGATATTTTTGTGATTTTCACAGCCGTCGCCTACAGGATAATTTTTAGTGGAGAAGGAGAGAACTATAGTGTTATGAGGTAGGGTAGAAATTTAAAAGATTATTGAAGGATAAAAGAGTCCAGAATTCAATCAGATGTTGCTCTGACCGAGTATGCGTCAGATTTTTAGCGGAGTGGTTAAGAGATTCACGGACTCGTTCAGATATTGTTACCAAATGGGCTTAATCTTGTTCATTTCTCTTCCATGTAAGAATAATTGGTTGTCATATTATTTGTAGTGGATAACATTAATTTGGTCGAAAATTCTAATTCTGCTATGATAGATGGAATCAAACAACTTTTTAGTTATAAAAATAGACACAAAATAAAAGACATTAATTAGGAGTCTTAAAGTTGAATTATAATACAATTCGCAAAATTACTTGATAATCCGCCACTATGCATCGGGTCAAGTATAAAGTGATACATAATAAGTAAATTACATATGTAATACAATAAGAAATAATACATAATATTAGTAAGTCATAGAGTAAACCGAGTCGTTCATTAACATTATCACGGTATCTAGAATGACAACTTGTAAGTTGATGCTCCTGTGGATTGCTCGTTAAGTGTAAGCAGCGTAAATGTTCTTTTAGGGGTGAAAACATGTCCTGTGAAATGAGACTCCCTACGTGAAAGAATTTCGTGACTAGGAGCATCCATGAAATCGTGTTGCACTTTCATTTTTTTTACTTTGTGTGCCGTTGCGAATGTTCATTGTGTTTCCTTTACACTTATCTGTAGACACGGTAGAAAAGTGTCAGTGGATGTGTCAGAGATCTCAACCGGATCATTTGCGTTGAAGCCACTTCCTGTTTTGCCTGTCTTGGAGCCTTGTCTTGTTTTAGATGCGTTTATTCCATGTCCTGCTTTGATTCATGTAAAGATTTTTTTCACCAGCGGAACACCAAAATCATCATTACATTAAAATAATAGCTTCAAGTCCTTTCAATTTTCTGTTCCCTTGTTAAAAAAATTTGAAACTCGTGGATAAGGCAGCAAGTAAATAATAGAGTGTATAAAGTAAATAATAATGTTTGTGTAAAACGTGTATCTTAATACATGCACGTATAGACACAAATTTCAGAATTACATTTTTATTATAATAAGTAGCTAACTGTAGAGTCTGATTTGGTTCAGAGTTACAAAATACACATTGTACGAAATTTCAGAATTACATGCATGTAAAATGTGCGAACTAACTGTAGAGTCTCAAGGAAAAAAATATAATTAGTTTGGGGGAATATAGACTTACAGCCTCAAGTGTACTTCATTCAACAATCGACACATAGACATAGTTTATTTAGGGATCAAAGATGACTTCATATGTTGTCAATACTGCGATAAACATATCAGTACTCGAAATTTCAGCCACAACACTTCAATTGGGAGAAGATAGGAATATAATTATAAAAAAATAAATCTGCATATATGAGTTCAAGATAAAAACACATGCATAAAAAAATCTGCATAAAAAATCTGCTCAAGAAAAATCGACATATATGAGTTCGAGATAAAAAAATCTGCACAAGAAAAATCTGCATTTATGAGTTCGGGATAAAAAAGTTTGTATAAAAGAATTTGCATATGGGAATAAGTAATATGTTCCAGTAACATTCTTAATATTATCCAAATAAGAAATAATACTCTAATAAGACAATCCAGGTAACATATACTATTACAAATTCACACAACATAAGTTCTATAAATAAGGACTACAAATAAGGTTTAAAATATTCACACAGCATAAGGTCTACAAATAATATAATATGCCGAATATTCTATCGAAGTGCTCACATAGCATTAGCTATGTCATCACCCACACATCGTCTCGTTCTTATAATTCGATCCCGTCCCCTAAATGATGATACATGAAACATAGTGCAGTCGTACCCCAAGCATAATCCTTAACTATGTCAAAATTCTCAATGAAGGACAAATAATTAACTCAAACTGATTTTCCCGTATTGTCAGATAGTGTCGTGCAACCCAACAAGCATAATATATAAGCTCTAATAGCCACTTTATGCATTTCAGCATCATCTGAATCCTTCACATCTCCAAATGTAATACGTAGTCACTATATTGTCACACTAGATTTACCGCATAAAGCACACACGACATTGCTCATGGATATCCCCATGGCTTTACTAAGAACCACATGCCCCGACTATTTCTCTCGTTCAATAAGTGATATTGGTAATCCTACCTCGAAAATCCTAGCAAACAACTCACATCATCCAATGTGATTGTCATTTCTCCAAATGGCATGTGGAAGGTTGTCATCTCTCTAAAAATGCACTAAGTATCAACTTATCAATGGTAACATAAGAACATTTCACCAGCCCATAAAGTCCTCTGATAAGAGTCCACCTCTTCAAGTATATTCAAGGAAGAAAACGATAGCACGTGATAAGGAGCAGATGACAGAAACTGAATTGCAGTTATTGGGTTTAAATTATCCACATAACATCCTGGATATTCTCAAATAATCTTATCCCCTATTTTTAGGAACTTAGTTATGTCTAGCAGATATCCTATCTATTATAAATAATTAGGGAATTGTAATTTTAGGATTAGCCATTGAAATTGTAATCTGAATGTACTATTGGAGATTTGTCTTCTCGAACTTGACAAAGGTTAATAGTTGTATTTGTGTTTAAGATTCTTGCACTTTTACGGCTATTAAACATATTTCTTTCTCTCATTTTTATATGACATTTCTGCTCCTATCATTTTGGTATCAGAGCCAGGTTGATCCAAAATGGTTTCGACACGATCGTCCACCCTTCAACCGGAAACACACAATTCACAACCCAATTCTCCTCAAAATATACCAAACACTACGACGGAAATCCCATCAACGGTTGATCCCATAACAATGCAACTGGCTTCCATTGCCTCTCGTCTTGATATGATGGACACACTTGTGGCAGATGTTGCAGCACTCAAGGCTACTGACAATGGGGCGACGCTTCCTGATTTTATCCCACCAGCAACTAGCAAAGGCAAAACAAAGGAGTTCTGTTAGAATCCCTTGGATTCTAATTATACGAGAATTAAATAAAACTTGTGCCACAAGTTTGCATATACCGTGAGCTAAAGAAGGGAAGAGTCCTTGTAGTTTTTAATTCTTTTAATTTGTCATTAATTGATTTATAATAGGAATTATTCTTCTAAAGAGTTATTCTTATTTTAATGACTTGTCTTCTGCGTATATTAGCTACCTTAGACCTAATGGACTTTGGTTTTCCTTGTTGTACAGTGAATCAAAAAACGTAGGCGAACATATATACGAGAGCAGCACGGGATCATGATTGTTAGAATTCGTTGGATTCTGACTTCGCAAGGAAACTTGTAAAAGACCTGTACCACAAGTCTAGATATGACGTAATATAAGAAGGGGAGTTTTCTTGTGTTTTAATTATTTATTTGATCATTAATTGGTTAACACTTGATACGGAAATTATTCATAGATTAGGATGCAATATCTTAAGATAATGCATGAGTTTTGAAAGTCCATATTTTATGTACGTGGTAACTTGATTTCTTTGGAGTCTAGAAGAAACCCACCTGATTTGTTTACCAAATTATATGATTTGGTTACCAAATTGTGGGTCCAACTTTAAGGAATAAATTTCCTTACGTCTCTTTTAGTCATTAATTGTGCTTTATGATATATGGAATTTAAGTATGATTAGGGAACTTAATTTATTTCATATATTCATCTGATACGTCTTTATGGTTATCATTGCTAGGGAAAACAGACGTATAAAGTACAAGAGCAGAACGTGATTCTTGCGTGCCTTTTTGTAGAGAAAAATATTTCTCTTTTCTTTGTTGCTCTTCCGGAACGTCTTTGATCGAGAGAAGTTTTTCACAGAAAATATTTTTCCTCTCGTTTTTTTATTGTTCCATCGTGATACGTGATTTTCATAGAAAATATATCGGCTTCAAGGCTTTGTGGTGAAGACACCAAGATTCAAGGAGTATCACAAGTTTGCTTCTTCTATATAAAAAGAAGATCGGTTCTTCGGGAGAGGGGCTTAAACAGATCTCGGGAGGAGATCGATCCGCCGACTGAGGGATTCAGCGTTGAAGGGAGTTCAACCGTGCGGAGCAAGGGACGTGCTGCAAATTGAAGATTTATAATTCAGCATAATATACGAGAACGGCGTCAACAAAGAGGGAGTCTTTGTATTTTGATTAATTCCTATTATTGTATTCGCAAAACTAAAAATTAGTAAATTTTATTTGCAGGTCCCCGTGGATGTAGGGTACAATTGTATCCGAACCACATTAAAATTTGTGTCTCGTTTATTTCTGTTTTAACGAACTGCTTCACGAACTGTTGCAAAACTTAACGCAACAGTAACGAAAAACTGAATTTGACACAAATAATTTATATCTGCACGAAATAAATTCTAACAATTGGCATCAGAGCCTGTCACTAGATACACTTAGTGAGATTTTGGGATTTAATTCTTTTTTATTTTTTTTGTGCAGATATGAATAATCATCGTGAAGGCGCATTTCTACCACCTCTATTGGGTGAATTGAACTACTCTGATTGGAAAATAAGGATGAAGATGTTCATCAAATCAATTGATGAATGGGCCTGGCGCGCGATTCAATTTGGTTGGACACCTCCTACCTCAATGAATGAGTCACACGAGATCATTCAAACGCCAAAAGAAAAGTGGAGTGATGAAGAAGTACGAATAGCAGATTATAATTCCAAGGCAACCAACGCTATCTTGAGTTGTATCGATGACGAACAATTCAAATTGATATCAATGTGCAAATCAGCAAAGGAGGCATGCGATATTCTACAAGAGACCTACGAAGGAACTACTCTGATAAGCAAGTGCAAAGAGACTGCTGCTGAAACTGTTGTAACAGTTGGACAGACAGTTCAAACAGAACTCAGGTATGATAATTTGCCTTCAATAGACGACAACGGTTTAACTTCCTTTATTCTTGCAGGTGATGATGGGGATTCAGAAAACAACAACGATGATGACGAGGCAACCTTGAAAGAATTAATGAAGAGCTACGAAAGGATGTACGAAAATTTTCTTCAGGTATGCGAGTCGAATAAAGTCTTAGAAAAAGAGAAGCTTGTTCAAATTCAGGAAAACAAAGTGTTGAAGGTAAGAATTTCTACTCTTGAACAAAATGCTATTTCTGCTAGTAGAGAAACTGATAGTTTGAAGGCTAAATTTGCTAAAACCCAAGATTCTATTTCTAAATTAAATACAGGTAGGGTAAATCTGAATGAAACTTTGAGAACAAGTCAGCCGAACTATGGTCATCTAGGTAGAGGGGGTAATAAACTATTTGATGATGCTTTGAAACAGAAAGAATATCCAATAGGAAAAATCAATATTGTTAAACAATCCACTGTTTCACAGACTGTTGCGACTGTTACGTCAAAACAGTCATCTCAAAGAAAACGTTTTGTGCCTATTTGTCATTTTTGTCATGTTCCTGGTCATATACGACCCAAGTGTTTTAAGTACTTGAAAATGGTTAAGAGAATAATGGCCCGCTCACCACTTTCCGCTAAAATTGATCACACTTTTGTGTCGTCTCAAAAACCCAAGATAAAGGTTGATTTAGTGAATAAAACTCAACAAAAAATCTGGGTAAAGAAGTCTGATCTTAATTGTTTATCTGCCATTTCTTCTTTAAAATCGTATGATGATAGTACTAACTGTTCCAACAGTTCTGTTGACAAAATTGGATTGGGGCATAAGAAACTTGATCTTCTGAATTTTGATAATTTGAGTGCGAAAAATAATTCGATGAATCCTATTCAGCATTCGAGAACTAAGCTTACTGATATTTGTCATCGTTTCATAAGGGGCTTGGCTGAAAAGGGGGTTGTCTCAATTGATTATGCTGCAACGGAGAATGAATTAACTGATGCTTTTGCAAAAACCCTTGATGCACAGAGATTTTATTCCTTGCAAAAATCGTTGGGAATTTATGTTGTTTAATCTGATGCAGTTGCATAAACTGTTGCAACAGTCTGTGTGTCCAGACTTGCAACTTTTAGTGGTAGGACACTGCATATGTTTTTGCATCTCATATAGGACCTGCATTAAGCATACTGCACATGATTGAGACAAATGTGAATTTGATACTTCGTGTACTTCTAAACTTTGTGGGGGTAGAACTTCACCAATTCCCAAAATGATTACTTAAAAGGCTCCAACTTATTTATTTCTCTGAATAGTCTTGTCATGGTTGGATGTTTATATAGGGAAAAGCTGCATCTTTTAATGAGTGAAAGCTACTCTTGAACTACTGTTACAAATATATATATCTACAACCATTTGGTCAGTGAATAGTTCGAAGCCTTTTTGAGTCGAGTCAGTAAATCACATGGCCGAAAGCTCGCTACATGGCTCAATTAGAAAGCCCAGGGGACTACACATTGCACGGCAATATAAATTATATATATGGTTAGTGAATAGTTCGAAGCCTAGTTGAGTCGAGCCAGTAAACCACTTGACCGAACACTCACTACAAGGCTCAATTAGAAAGCCCAGGGGACTACACATTGCACGACCACCGTAATCTCGTTCCTTTTAATTGCTATATTTTTCATGGGAAAAAGCTACCATTAGACGTGTGTGTACGCTACCTAATAAGAGCATCTTTGTGTTTGACTTGGGATTATTAAGTTTATTGGTTGCATTAGCAGTCGGATTTTTGGGGATTGCGCTTATCGTGAATGTGAAGATAAATCCAATATGTTTTGTTTGTCCATGCAGTATCCTATTCACATATGTCTCGTCACTAATGTTTATTTTTCATGTTTACTTCTTGTCTTGCATTAGGTATTATTGAAAAAAAAAAAAGAAAAAAAAAAAGAGAGAGAGAGACGGGATTTTTGTTTATGTGCCGGTTAAATTTGATTTTTTGTTGCAGCCGGATCTATTGAGTTTACCCCTCACATTTCCTTGTTTCGTATGAAGTTTGACAAAGTCTGTAGTCTTTTTTATTTAATGATGGATTTGATATCATTATCCTTTGATTTTCGCATTGCAATTATCGTGTGGTATTGAGGTTGTGAGTTTGTGATTTTGTGTGCACGTTATGTATAGTGATTCTTCTCACTTACTTTCAAGATTCTCTCTTCGTTTGATATTTTTGTTAAGTTTTTGAACAAATTGCTCGACACATCAATATCATTAGTCCATGTTGGTTTATCTATGCATGTTGGTGATAGCCCAGAAAGGGGGAGAAAAGAACAGTAACGAGGGCATGAACACAGGGGGAGTTCGGACTACTGTTGCCAGTGCATCTAACAGTTGCTGGAATAGTGCAGGAATGCAGGCGGAGTTCAGACAACTGTTGAGACAGTGCATAAGACAGTTGCTGGAATAGTGCAGAAATACAGGAAAAATAATGAGCATTGTGAAGAGAAGTTGTTCCTGCTACCGCATATCCTTTTATCTCATGCTTATCTGAACGAATTATCTAGTTTAATTTTGGAACTATGGTTTATTTACAGTTCACACTATCTGCTGAACTGTTTGATAAACTGTTGCAACAGTTTATATTTGCTGATGTTATTTTGAAATTGCTGACCCTTGTTCATGCATGTATCATATATTTAGGGGGAGTAAATGTTCTGACCAATCAATGCCAAAGGGGGAGAGTGTTAGAATCTCGGTGGGATTCTAAGTCCACAACACAAAGTGGAATTCTATGGAGATGTGTATTAATATGAGGAACATATTTTCCTTAGTTATCTCATTAAATAATTTGAGAAGAAATAAATTATCTCTCCATATTAATCACCTGAACGTGTATCTCCAAAATAGAAGGAATTTCACATTTTTAATATTGTACAATTTCATTAATTGGTTTAGGTCTTCACAAGAATATAAAAGGAGGAGCTAATGCTGATGTTATTTGCTGAGTCTTTTATCACGTGGATGATTCACCACGTCGCCCTCCAGCGCCCTCCAAGTCTACCAAGACAAGTGAGCAAAGGGGAAGAATGAA